AAAAAAAGTGAAAAAAGTGGATCGGTACTACTCTCCCCGGTTTTTAAAAAATTTTTTATACAAATGCAGAAATCTCTAGTTAAGTATCGGATTATCATCCAATTTGATAAAAACAAAAAACAAGAACAAGGTAGAATACCTGCAGTTCTAGGACCATCGTAGGGACCAGATTCCTCTCCATCCCTGAAGATCTTCAGCGTTGGGTAGCCACTGACGCCATATTTGCTGCATGTGTTGCTGTTGGCTGTGCAGTCAACCTGCACAGTAGCAAGCAAACCATTAGCAAACAGTTGGCAACGCAGAAAAATTGCACTATGTCAAACTGTGTTGCGCAACACCTTGGCAAGCGACACGGTGCCTTTTAGACGGGTGGCTGCTGCCTCGTACTCGGGGGCAAGACGTTTACAGTGACCACACCTAAAGGACAAAGAGGACATGGACCAGTCAAACAGGAGGACAATTCACACATCGGATCGGAGGCAGGGAAGGATCCAAGAAACCTGATACTTCTGCATAGTAAGGAGATTTTAGCTAAGCTTGTTCAATACAACGATAGGAGGAAAGTCAATTTTTTCATCATTTTTCTTTTTTATTTTTAATGGAATAATTCTTAAACACATTTTAGAACATTTTTGTATTGATGGGTTTTTTTTTTTCTACAAAAACAGTTAAGCAACCTAAGCAACATCTAGCAACCCAAAGCTCGAGTGGAAAACTTTTAATGACTTCATAGGACCAAGAATGTTGGGACAAAATAAATCTATTTCATCTATAAGTGGGACGATAAAAACTTCAGTTTGTTTCAGGATGTTTACTGCAAAGAATAATAAAACAAGTAACATTAACATAGGATTGATAAATTGGCTGCAACTGATTTCTTGGAGTCTGATTTAAATATATCAATTAAAATATTATGTAAAAATGATAAGAAAAAGGGCAGCGTGAGCAAATAAACACATGTATAAAGCGCACATTAGTTTGGTCTTTAACATATCGTCACATTCCTATATTAAAGGCCTAAGTCTTTTTTGTCCGAAGTGATTTTCTCTATAAAACAACAACAAAAATCACTTCTTGAATGGACTCCACGGAAAAATGCGTCATTAACATCTTTATTAAATAATTTCACATTACTTTTTCCTAACTTTTAAAGAAAATCATTTTATCTGAAGTTTGACCTATTTTTCAATGTATTTGTTCAAGTTTGGCACCGTAGAAACACGTCAAATATGTCGTTGACCAATCAGAGGTGGACACCAAAACTTCCCCAACCAATCAGAGCGTTACAACCATCACATGACACGCCCCCAACTTCCTTATCGCCTCATTCTCTTGCATTACCGAGATTTACGACGCATAAACTTGATAGTAATCAGCAAACGTGACATTTTAACAGCTGCGAGTCCCATTAAGATATAACATCCGCTAAATTAATCATTTAATTTAAATACCGCAATTCGTACAGCCTTAGGCGTCCACCGCTAGCTAACATGCTAACATTTGGTCTGCAACCAACAAGCAGGATTTGACAGTCCCGACTCTAATAAAAATAAATATTCCCCAATAAATAAAAGTAATTCAAACGCTCACAGACTGAGCACATTTTAAGTCGACATTTCTGCAGAGTGGAGTCCATTTTGCCGCTGGGCGACGGCGTATTTTCATTAGACATTTCCCCCCTTCCGCTTGCGAACAAAAGACGCCTGAATGAAACCTGGAGAAACTCACCAAGGTGCAAAGAACTCCACGAGAATGATCTCGTGGTCTCCAATCCTGCTTTCGAAATCGTCATCCGTGAACTCCAGCACATCACTGGCCCGGCTGAACCCGGCGAGAGCGGCCAAAAATATGAGCCTCAACATGGCACACTGAGAGGGCGAACAGTCTCTTGGCCTCAGTGACACAAAAAACTTCAGGCTGCAGATGTGAGTCGTTGCCGGCCCGTCTTCAGCTCCTCAAAAAGCCGCAGGACACTCAGAGCAGGGCCGAGACTGAAAGAGAAAGGGGACCGAGGAGGAAGAGGTGAAGACGCTCACAAGCAGCACGGCCTCGTCCCGTAGTCACAGTGTGGCAGCCTCCCATTGGTCGACTCGCCGCGTAACTCAGCTGCCACTGACCAATGAGGTTTCGGGAAATCAAACGTCGACGCGCGTGGGCCAATCGTGATCGGACAAAAGTCCGTATTACACACGGAACTTAAGACGTTAATACTTCGCTTGAAATTTGGGGTTATTCACAAACTGCACAAATGTTTTCTTTACCACTGACAGAGACAAATGACGTGGCTCGACTTCGGGGTTAATAAAGTCGTAGTTTGTGTTAAATTGGGAATCATGGAGACTGCCAGTATAACGACCCAGTTTATGGGAATGCACTGCAGTGCTTTCACCCCTTGAACTGCTTCACATTTTGTCACCATTTAAAACATTTAAGAAGAGGCTTTCCTCCCAAACTTTTATTAATTTTTGCACATTTCAGCAACTACAAAAAGATAATACAGGAATTATGAAACGGGCAATTCGCATTACATTTTGTCAAATACCATCATCAAAATCATCAAGCAAACATCAAAAGTGTTGATCAATGCTCCATTAATTATAAACCAATTTTAATTGTTTATTTATTTATTTTATTTGCCTTGATTTGAATGAACTCAATGTTTCAGCTGTTTTGCGGTTTTCTGTAAGTTTGTTCCAGATTTGCATAGAAGATGAATGCTGCTTTCAGGTAAAGTATATCAAAAAACAAAGCGAAAGTATTGCCGTTTTCTGGGGATCAGGCAGGAAGTCCAGCCTGTCAGCTGTCCTGAACGTTTTCCAATGTTCTCTTTCGCTTTAAGACGAGAGACTCCAGATTGTTTGAAACATAAAACCGACTGGAGTCTCCCCACCTGCTGATAATGAAGTGAATATTTATGAAAACCTCACAAAACTACTTTCGATTTGTACCTTTTTTTGGCAATTTCATGGACCAGCCACCAGATGGCGCTCTCTGACAAAACGTCAGCTTCAGATTTCAGGCTTTTTTTGTTTCTCCCGCACAGTCCTTATTCTAGACAGGAAGCAGATAGGTCCTCGAAAAGCGGAGCTTGGTCCAACCAGGCGTTTTGCACAGCTGACTGGTTGCTATGGAGATTAAAAGATTTCTCAAACGTGCATAAAAAAACAGAAAATCACAGCGACACTCCAGGCATGTTTCTTGCGAGAGAATAACATTACAACCTGATGCAAAGCTCAAAACAGTGGATTTGCCCCTGAAGTAAACAGTCAGAAAGTTTTCACAGGTTGGCATGAGCAGGACAAATATTACTGCAAAAAGTTCTTGTTTCTACGGCGTTACGAGTGACGGAGCACCTTAAACACGGTGTTGCTGTCACCGTATCTCTTTATTTTTGTAAGACCTGCAGGAGGTCAGGGGACTGTGCTAACCCTTCAGTCCCATGATGCCTTTCTGTCACACCTGCTACTGTTTACTGTAAACCTGCAGAGCTGAGACAGAAGCCCACACACACGGCGAGTCCAAGACGCACTTCTGTACTGCAGAGATGTTCTTCCTGTTCCCACTAAGCCCCGTCGACAGCCCCCCCGCCCCCTACAGTAGCCCCACTGCTTCTCAGAGCAGTCGTCATGACAACTCTGCTGCGCCTCTTTCTATATTTGGAGCAAGGAGAAGATGAGCCGTCCACCGTGGTGACACGCTCTGACTGATGTAGGGAGGGAGGAAATCGGGGCGTATTTGGGACATCAGAACCTTCTTTTCCTCCAAAAGCCTAGAAAAATAACAATAAATAAATAAAAAAATGGAGAGAGAAACTGCTCCCTCATGCCTCTCACCACCCACTGTTGACGTCTCAGCCGCGTCTCCTCACAACAGTGGAAGCCTTGTTGTCCCGCCGGCCACCAGACCGAAACACTGGGAAATCTGTTGGCTGTTTCATCGCGACAAGAAAATATCTGTCTGCTCTGAACCGGGACAAAGCTCTCGTTGCAGACTTCCTACGCCGCAAAGGAAAACACAGAGAGCCGTTCAAATCAAAGGGCTTCGTGAGCAGGCCGGAGCATTTCGATGGAGCTGCACTGGGAGATGAAATCTATATCTAAGGATGAAAAACAAGTGAAAACCGATTGGCTTTAATCGGAGAACCATGAAAGTCTTGAGTTTTTCATATTTTTGGGTGAATTAAGATTTAAAACCATGTCCTTCTTAACCCTTATTCACATTAACCACTTCTTATTGTGTATTTCTATTGATTGTTGAACTTTTGGTTCTCATTTATGTTCAGATTTTGTTCGTTTTCTTGGATCTTGCTATTTCAGTTGTTCCTTTTATTAGTTAATTGATTTCTCCTTTAAACTTGTTTCCCCCGTTTTAGGGTTTCTTTCTGTTTCCTGTTAATTTTCAGTTTTTCCTCCCCTGTTGGAATTGGAGGGCTGTAAAACAGTGGAGACTAGAAGAGAGGCTTACGTTTCAGGAGCAGAAATGGCTTAGTTAAAGCCCAGATGTAAATCTGATTGAAAATCTCTGGCAATACCTTCAAAAACTGATGTTCAGAAGACAGTCCGGACTTGATTGTTCTTCAGCTATTTTTGCAAAGGAGAGTGGATAAATATTTCCACCAGAGCAGACTACAATTGCACGCCACACTTTTCAGATTTTGGCTTTGTAAGAAACGTTTAAAAAGTTTCATAAAACAGCGTTTGAATTCATAAATTTAACTAAAGAAACTTCAGATCTCATGTCTGTATGGAAATAGGAACAGTGTGAACAAGTTTTGTTTTGTTTTTTACTACAGATGGGTTACATGGCATCAAGGAACCATGCTAATCACAATTATGACCTGAAAGCTTAGTCACCATGGTTACCTAAAGCTCCGGCTTCTTGTTTACTGGAAATAAATCCTCAGCGGATTTCAAAAAGCTGCTATAAAAGCCAAAAGAAAAAAAAAAAAAAAAAAAAAAAAAGCACCAGTCAATTGTGAAATGAGACACAAACAGAGGTGCTACTGTTAAATAGATGATTTGTTTATTAAAAGGCATGACAGTGTGACAATCTGTTATGGCTCAAACGATATTGCTTCAGGAGCTTACAGTACGGAGCCCGACCCGGCCAAGTGTGTGTTCGGAACATCAGAACCTGACGAACACGTCTGCTGGAGAAGACAAACGTCTCTCCAGCCTTCCGCTTGGAACAAAACCATAAAATCTACATTCAAAATAAATTAAACGTCTGAAAAGAAACTATGTACACACATTCCACGATGGATGATGGAGCACGGACGTATGGGACTATACAAGTGCCAGGTAGGAAGGGAAATCACCACGCAGGAGAGAGGGGCCGGTGACAGGGGACAGAGTGCAGGACGTGTGGCTGAGTAAAGGTGGGAGTAACGGGAAGGGGAGAGTTGCTGATTTTCTTTTTTGTTTTACTTTTTGGCCATGCAGAGAAGCTGATTATTTTTGTTTTGCTTTAATAAAACAGCCCCACAGCTTCCATAACTCTATAAATCACTTTTAACATTTTAGAGCAAGATTCTGATCTGAGCTTGGAGCGTTTTGGGTCTGATGAAGTTCTGGGACGTTATCAGCCAGACGGTTATATATTATATATACAAATGAAATTATAGAGTATACTGAGGAGCAGGGACGGAGTGGCTGATTAGATAGGTAGCATAGTGATGGTAGAGTAATAATAATAATTATTAATGAGGCGACATAGATATCTTCTGGAAATATCTATGGGCACACGGCTGTGTGTGTGTGTGTGTGTGTGTGTGTGTGTGTGTGTGTGTGTGTGTGTGTGTGTGTGTGTGTGTGTGTGTGTGCCCAGAGGTTTGTGTGCAGCGGTGAAGGGACCAGTGTCTACTTGAACAGCTTAAGGGGTGCTGGCACCTTGATGTCCTGGCCTTTCTCCAGCCGCTTCTCGCACTCAATTAGGTAGTTGACGCCATTGATCACAGTCTGCACCAGCTGGACCTAAGTAGGAGACACCATATTTAGATCCCATTATTCCTTGGCGTAAAAATAAAGAAATAAACAAAGGAAGGCAAAATGTTTCTGAACTATGGATTAAGAACCTGCAACTACTTTGACGGCTATTTGATTTAGTGAGCAAGAAAGTCGTTAAACATTTTAATTCAAGACTTATTTAAAGACGGTTACGGGTGATATTTAAGACCTGTATCGCAACAAATGTACAACGAAAGTTGCGTCGGCAACAGAAGAACATCGTCCAGCCAATTGACAATAAATTTGAGCTTTGCCATGTTAGGCAGGAGAGTGCTAGTATATTAGCAGCTAGCTAGCAGTAGCCTGAACCGCCTTGAGTCCAAAGAATACAATGAAGATGTGTTTTTTGACTCAACTCATATATTAGTTCTGCCAAACCAAAGTATAAAACCTTTGAATAACATATTTAAAACTAACTTACTTTTTAAAAATGCATTTAAGCCATTTCAAGGCTTTCATGTAATTAAGGCTTTTTAAGGATGCCTGGACACCCTGATATATGTATATATTATTTTGTCACATCCCTACTTTATTTACAGACATTAATAACAATGTATTTTTCTTTTTATAAATCTGTTATTCAAGATAAATCAGAAATGTAAGGAAATGACCAAAACACACTTTGAGTCCTTCTTATGACTGTGTAGGCCATGACATGGACATCACAATGATCTGTAATGAAAACATTTTTCATATACAGAAATAAATACTTAAACATAATTTTCACATACAGAATTTAAATAAAGGCACAAATCATCAATAACTATTAAATAAAATTATGGATTATGAGTACATTCAATAGTAAGGACCTACAAGGTCCATAGCTCAGAAAAACCTCGGGAAACGCCAACATGGACAACAGGAAGCAGTCAGAGAATTTGTGTGCCAGCTCTGTTATGCGTAATTTTCAGATGTCAAGTTTCTACGCAGACAAAGCCCAGCCTGCAGTGGATCTGAAGCAATCGTCAGAAACTACTAGATTTTTTTCCTGCATGCCTGTCAGGATAGAGTGGGGTAAGATTTGTTCATCTTACAGTTATTGCAAAATTTATAGTAGGGAGGATGTATTAAGTAATCCTGTTATGTCTCAGGCCACAAATCTTTGAAGAATGTGAATGAATACGAGTTACAACAAGATTTCACTTCTGTTATGGATCAAGTAAGTATTGTGGAATTTGAATTTGAACAGCGAGCTTTCACATAATTTAAAAGAAAAGCAACAAATTACCTAGAACTCATTTTGTCACCGGCTTCTCAACTCTTCTGATAAACAAAAATACTTCAAGACGGCAAACTCTAATTTGCATCAACTGAAAACATTTCTTAGTAACAGACAGGAAAGTCCAGTGAAACAGTTGGACGTGTGGATGTAATCTGCGACAAGCCATGGTTTGTCCCTACCTCAGACTGTCCCAGACGGTCCAGGTTGGAGATGTCAAACACGCCGCCTACAGCCGCCGTGTCCACGCCGCCCGTCCCGCGCTTCTGCAGGCGCAGGTTGTCCAGGATCGTATTGAAGCGGGGATCCTGTTCGGCAAAAACAGAAGGAGTCAGCCTGGACGCTGATAAGACACAAATTGCCAGGCATCTGCAGGATGAGTTTATTTATTTTATTACCATTTGGTACCGGTGTGTGATAAAACAAAGAAAACAATTAGCATAAAAGTTTTTAAAACCATCCCATCGTGAACTGTAGGATTTCTTGACCTTAAGTCCAGCTGTAAATCCAGAATGTTCCAGGTCAAAGACGCTCTCCATCCATTCTGACGACGTTTGAACTAATTTTTTAACTACTATGAAAACACTTATCACATCACAGGAGTCACATGATCAACAATGTGAGCGTTACTACAGCTGGAAATGACAAAGAAAACCCCAGGAAGTGGATGAAGGGTGATGGTTTGTTTATGTTTTTTCAGACAATTTGATGCTGGTCCCACCAGAGCTCTCACAGTTGTGTATTATTGTATTATTAACGTATGTGTATTATTAACGTGTTGAATCCATAACTCCTCTGCTTGTCGCTTCAACACCTGAATAAGACGACACTGTCTCCTCTGCTGGCTGATGAGCGCTAGCGCCATGGATGAATTACGAATATATTCAACTGTTTACATCCGTCGCTCCCATGATTTTTAAGAACTTATCGAGTGAACAAGCTTATTCACACATGATTTCTACATGACTCATTTAACAGAACACAACAACTGCAAAAATTGTGTTTTTGGATGTCCACTTCAGCTCCGGCAGCGCCTGGTGACTAAACCCATGTAAAGTTGTGTGTTTCTCGTCAGGCTCTGCTTCAGCTTGTGTGTTACCTTGCTTAGTTTGGGCAGCTTAACGTGGACACCGGCCCTGAGTCCAGTCCCTAGGTTGGAGGGGCACGTCAGGATGTAGCCGAGCCTCTCGTTCCACATGAACTCCCAGCCTCTCTCCTTGATCAGCCGCTCCACCTGAGGGAGTTGGAAGGGGTGCGGAGTTTAACTCAATGCAACTGCTCAACAGCATTTCACTTTTTATTTTTTCACAAACCATTCATGACACACACACAAACAAAAAATTCTTGTATGATTCTGAAAGTGGGAGTGAGACATCAAACGTGTAGGAGAGAGCTGTGGTATTTTTGCTTCTCCTTTACTCGTCGACGAGGAAATGTGTGGACGGTGTGTCCTGTACGTCTGCCAACATGCTTTATTTTGGAAGCAGGAGAACGTCTTCCTGTTTTTAGACAACACTAATGGCCCCGCATTGAGTTTAGAAAGCCATCTAGAAGCAGACACGGCCAACAATAACTATATAAGCACATTTATATTAGATAATGCAGAGCAGACTCAGTTCTGGGCTGCGTATCAAGTTGCCACAGAGACACTTAGCATCACACTGACAATTATCGACCAGAATAGCTGCTTACTTTCTGTCGTCCCTCAACATCTTAAAGGGGCAGTGTCATGCGAAGTTGACTTTTTAAAGTTCTACCTCATGTTATAATGTTATTCTCTCATCAAAAACATACCTGGAGTGTTGCTTTGATTCTTTCATTCATGTTTGAGAAATACTTTAATCTCCATGACAACCACTGAGTAAAACACTCCGGGGGAACCTAGCTCCATGTTCTAGGCTTCCTCTGAGCTGCAGATTCTAAGTAACCGAACTTCTGCCTAACAGAACCCCCACTCAGCTCCTTCCGACTAGCAGGCAGCAATTAGCAAACACCTGGTAGAACTGAGAATCTGCTGAGCTCATTAGAGGAGCTATTTCTCAGTGCTTCACTGGTAAAAACATTGCTAAGGTGTCAATAGAGGAGCCATATTGTGGTGACTTCTTGAAGGTGGAGCTTCAGAAAGAATGGAAGTTTTTAAAGAGGCAGAGGCCCAGTTTCAAGGAGTTAAATAAGGAAGTAAAAAAATTTTTTAAGTCATATTTGATATATTTATATGGCATTTTTAAAACAACTGACGGTACTTGATCATGCTGTACTTGATCAATGGCACTATGTACCTGGAAAACACATAACTCTGCCCCTTTAAGTAATCGGGAAGGATCCGGTCTCAACTGCGAGCGCGTCTTACCTCCAGAAGGCCTCTGCAGAACCTCTCAAAGACCCTCTTCATGTTGCCTCCCTTCTCCATGGAGATCACTCTGGTGTGATCCTCCTCATTGATCCAAATCAAAAAGGTCTTCTCATTGTTGTGCCTGCACACAGGGAGGTTTTCTACTTCATAAACAGCGTGGATGCATGCTACTGCAGCACCATCTGTTCTTTTCAGGTGCACAGTGTCGATTAACTGTTCACATGCACTCAGGTGTCATATCATTGCTCAATTTGGCTTCTTTTCAAAGTGTCAAATTGAGCAATGATATGACACCTGACTAAACACTGCCATTTCCATTAAACAATACAAATGGTTTCATAAACATGGTTTCAATTCACTATTATATGACAGAATTTATTACTTTCTATTAGTCTTCTGTGTACAGTAATCTGAAATCTAACAAAATGTTATGTTTTGAAATGTAACTAACACACACATACACTACACACCTGATAGGTTCAAGGGCAAAACTTTAATTAAATAAAATGTTCCCATTTTTAATAACTTTTCTTAAAATGAGAAGAAATTATTTCAATTAAACAGATCAATAATTTGTCGAGTCATTAGGAATAACAAATATTAATTCCATCGAAACAATCCAAACAGATCTTAAAGGTAAATGACCTTCCTGCTCAAATGAAATGCTTAAACACAATTTGCAAAGAAAGTTACAAAAAAAAAAAAAAAAAAAAAAAAAAACACCCCCAAAACTAAAAACTGCTTCCTGGCATTTAGCAAATAGAAACAATTTCAGTCATTTTAACTGACCTAAAACAAGAACATTTTAGTTTGATTCAACTATGTTTTTATTAAATATATGAAAATATCCAGTTTCAACTGTAAATAGCGTTTTCCAAATTTAGGTTTTTAATCAAACATTAGATTGAACTTTATTACAAAATCAAACTATGTGAATGTCAATGTCTTTATAATTTAAGGTACTTTCCAAACCTTGAAGACACCTAAACTAAATTCACGCATTTTCAAGGATTTCAAGGACCTGTATAAACCCCGTCACAATGACAATCTCTTAGCATGATTAAGTTTCACATTTTAAAGCAACAAAATCCATTTTTCCCCCCTCAAACCACTTTCTTCTTTTGTAATAGAGGGCACAGTCTGCGTCGAGGGAGGAAAAGTCATCTAAGACACAACGAGAGAAAGAGGAGAGGAAAAGTAGATCACATAATAAAGGGAGTAACAGAAACAAGAGGGGGGAAAAACAGCTTCTTGTTCAGCTGAAACTAGAAGCTGTAGTTCAGCAGAAAGAGGAGATGATGAGGTGAATTGCATTATTGAGAGGAGGAGTGACTGATAGGCTTTGCAGAGGAAACAAACATGGAGGGAGGTGGCTGTCAGGCACATTGAACTGGGGATATTCCAGCGGCTGATCTGAAACGCCGCTTGTCTCGTTTTCACCTCAGCTCACAAAAACACATCGGAGCAGCAGAAACGCCAAGGCAAAGTTCGCCCAAAGGTTAGTTGAAATGAATTATTGCAAAGCGGAAAAGAGCACAGCCGGTACGACAAATGCGATTTGCCTGACGGGCTGAATATTTAAATTTTCTGCTTACCAAATACCGCGGGCGTCTGGCCAATCACGGGCCATGCCTGCGCAGGTCAGGAGTGGCGACACAGGTTTGTCGAACAGGAAGTGGTCCTGATAAATACACACAAAAAATATTCTTTATACATAACTTAGACTGGACAAGGTCTTTTATACTATTAGGAAATCTAAGTAACCTTATAATAAACTATAAAACATATTAACACTATAACACATATCATCACCTTCCTAATATAATGGCCTAAGTCATTTTTCCCCAGAAATAATTTTGACAAAAACAAACAAAACAACAAAAAAAAACTGCCTCATTACTGCAAACAGTTATTGTTTTAGGAAGGTGACTATATGAAAGGTCAATTTATATTCTTTTGTGGTTAATTTTGAAAGGATTGTCACACTGGAAAATTGTTTTCACTATAATGAATATTTAGAAGATGTAAACATTAGCTCTAAAATAAGTAGAACAAAAAATTCTTCATTTTTAAAAGGTACTTTAATAACTATTAAAAGTTAAATACTATTTAAAGTACCATGGGTGCAGATACCCAATACGGTCATATTTTAGAGTTTGAAAACATAAAGAATATGAAAGTTGTATATTTTTGAATAAATCACATGTCGGTTTTGCATTGAATAAGGAATCTTAGGTTACGAAGCCATGAAAGCGTTTAAAGTGTTTAGCTGTTTGTTTTGCACATTTAAAATACAGATCAAAGATAAAAATAACAATAATAATAGCTGAAGAAGTTGCAAAAATTGTGACCTACGCCACTTTACCGACAGAAGAGTTAAGACAATTGTTTAGCCCAGACAGTTGTTGCTCCTGATATTAAATATGTACCACTTACATCAATGAGCTGCTGTTGCTCCTTCTCGGTCATCTGAGTCAGACTGTAGTATTTTCCGGTCAGGTCTCCCTTCAACCCAGACAGGGCGTCCACCACCACCCGTTCCACCTCTCGGCGCTCCGCCCGAGTGCAGGCGGGGGGCAGGCTCAGGCCCCGGATGCTGCGGCCGGTCCTCACCCTGGACGACAGCACGTAGCGCTCATCGAAAACACCGGACTGGATCTGAAATGTTAACAAAAGTTTGTTGATTAGGGCTGCAATTTTAGTAAATAGGTTACAGGGGTGGGTGATATGGACTTACAGTTACAATAAACATAAACATAAGTAACTATTTATCATTTCTTCTTGCGTAACTGGATGGCTGTGGATGAACGGCAACTGTAACCCGACAAACACGAAATCCTGCACTTTGTTAAAGGTGTTTGTGATTCAAATTAAAAATTCAAAAATATGTTATTGATCCCGAAGAGAAATTAAATCAAAGATGATTCTTTTGGACACCAGTCATGTAAAGAAGGGATTTATATCACTGAACTGCACACAGGGACTGCAATTAATCAAATTTTTAAATTAATTGACGCTCTTGTCGAGCAAAGGGTAGAGAAAATACTAAAAATTACAATCCTAACAAAAAAAGACATCAATTCATTAGAATTTATTGAGACAACGGTAAATGCTTATTGTGTCAAGAAAATTATCACGATTAATGATAAACGATACGATAATTGGCACATTCTGCAGAATTGTCATTTAACCACTTAAACCTTATTTTACACAATATAAGAAATACATTAAAAATAGCAAATAAACAAGCAATTCAACTCCTTTTTAAAGTAAGAAACTAATAACATCCAAGATGGTTGGTGTTAGATATTTTTTAACATTATCATTTTGTTGTTACTTTAGTTTATATTCAGTCTAAAGTATTATTGTGATTTTAGTATAAACTGACCTGGAGGTTACGACTGTCTTCATGCGAGATAGTAAAACTTTATGGTTCTCAGACCCTAAAGTTTTCTCTGGTGTTTATCTACCCGGTCTTAGGTGACAGTTTGACCCAGAGCTGAACTGGGCTCAGATTGTAAATTAGATATCACACCTGGAACTGAGTTGTTGGTCTGTTTGTGTTAAATGTTTTACGACCTCTGTTGTTTGATGCTTTGACAATAAAGAGGGAGCTCACGTGAAAGCAGATCAGAACTCTCTATTGACCAGCCCGGAGGAGCTGTTGATCGGGATTTCTCCTTCTGCAGAAGCCTGACCATATTTAATTCATATACGTTGTCTGTGGTTATTTTATTGTAGGTTCGAGGAAAATACCTAACAGTTGGCTTCAGGAAATAAAAAATAAATAAATAAATAAAAAATTAAAGTAATTTCCCCGAAAATGAGGTAAAAGCCAAAAATCTGAGCTGACTGCTGAGTCAATACAATAGAGCTCAAGTACCTTGCTGGCAGTCAGGTCAGTGGGGTGTTTCATTACACGGGGATCGTAGCCATTGTGCCTCTCTTTGATGACAGGATCCAAGAGGTCTGCAAACACCTAAACAGAAACACATTCAATTAAACCCAAGATTATTTCAGACTCAGATCTGCAATTATTTTCATGCAACTTAAAAGCAATGTCAATTTTCATTGATGTTGCCTGTAGGGTTTCTCCCACTATATTATCAGCCTGGTGGGCCACCGAGCTTTCCTTGCCTCCCCCACCAGACTGGACGTTGTTTGTTTATTTTAAATAGTGTTTTTATACTCAAGTAACAATGACAGCAAAGCCTGCTTAAGCTAGATTTTATAGCTGACAAATTGAACTTATGTCATTTTCTAACACACCTCTGAATTTTTGTAACTTTTAACATTTTTTAAACACAAAAAACTGAGCTGCTGGTGAACTATCTTAGCGCCTCTACCACCAGGCTCACACTGCAAAAACATAAAAGTCTTACCAAGTAATTTTGGTCTAGTTTATAGTGCAAATATCTTAGTACACTTGAAATAAGGAAAAACTAACATTCAAGTAACTTTTCAGCAAGGTATAAGAGCTTATTTAAGTAAATAATTCCTTAATATTGATTAATTATTTATCTATTGGCAGATGAATAAAGTATCTTAGGGATCACGAAGGGTGTTCATATTTGCCAACAAAGAAAACAGAAGAAAATCGAGTCACACTTCATTTGAAGAGGTGTGGATTACCCTCCCATGACACACTGTCATGAACATGAAGGAGTCTTCATGAATGTCTACAACTGTTGTCGAGAGTAAATAGTGACATTTTTAAGGCAAAGTTGCATTAAAAGTGTTAGTATGTACCGAAAACAGGTTTCAACAAATGCACCAGCTGTAGTTAAAGGAGGTGGATTTAGTTTGCTTAAAGCCGCGCCCCAGTCCCAATGTTGTGTCTGACCTCATAGGACTCCTCGTCTCCTGCTACCAGCCCAACGGTTTTGATGAAGGGGTGACCCGGGTTGTCCACACCCGTCTGGATGGCCTGGTCCAGCGTGTACCCGTTGGGCGTGGTCTTATCACACAACTTGGCGTAGATGGCCGGAGTCAAGTGGCTGGCCATGCAGTTGTTGTGTTTGCGCAGGTCAGGGTACTCCGCGCTGTGCAAAGAGGAAAATGAGATAAACCAAGACTCTATTGATCTTTGACAACGCTGCTGAACTCTAGACACCAGTGCAGAAACTTTAACTCACTAAATTTACTTTTTACTTGTTTTCTGTTTTTTTTTTTTACCCACAGGCAATAGAAATCTGAACCTGTGGCCTTTGACTAACAGTATACTGTGTTGTAAACAATCCAACAATCATATTTACTAATGAGAGACGGAGAGAGGGAAAAGGCACAAATCCCGATAGCAAATTCAAACTGTAAATTATTTAATGCCATTATCTTTATGGTATTAAATAATAAAAAAAGACTGAAGACTGTAGGCTTTAGGATGATTAATACAGATAAACCGTAATAATTTTCAGACCAACAGACCAGGTTTGGGATTTTTAAGTTGTGCTTTTCAGATTTTATTTTTGACAACACAAGTTGTTTCCAAGCTTCCACGTTTTTTGATGTAAAGCTAAAAAATCTGATTTTACGTCATACCGTCTCTTTAAGTATGGATGAAAAAATAAAATCATAGCACACCAAGATAGCACAAGGCTAATCTTGAGGCAAGGCTTCACCTTAAAAGGTTGCACTTTTTTCAATAAGACATAAATATAACCCGATATAAGATATAAATACAATAATTAATGAGACTTAAGATCCATGGCGCTGGTACTGTTGGATCTGAGTGCAGAATTCAACACCGTTGCCCATTAAAGCGAGTGGAGTGTTGAGTCGGACTATCTGCTAGAGTATTTGACTGTTGTCACTAAGAACAGGGTCTTCTTAGTGACAACAGGTAACGTCTCATTGGAATGGGTCAAAGTCCCATGTGGAGTACCACAAGGTTCAAACCTGGGACCCTCTTATTTAATATCCTCACAGTCCTGCTTATAAAGTTGCCATCATTACGCAGATGATACACAGCTCTATATTATAATGTCAACAGGTGACTATGAACCTATGCATGGACTGAACAGATGCTGAGGTAAAAAAAAAATATCAATGCCTGTATATGCCACAACTTCTTCCAACTGAACAAAAACAAAACTGAAGTAATTATCTTTGGAAATCTAAAGAGAAACAATGAAGAGTCAGCTTCAGTTATTACAGCCAAAAACTACGGATTAAGCCAGAAATCTGGGTGTAGTGACAGATTTGGAACTGAACTTTCAGAAACACGTAAAGACGGTTACAAAGTCGGCCTTCTATCACTTAAAAAACACATGAAAAGACTGATTTCACATCAAGATCTAGAGAAACTCATCGAGGAGTTTATCTTTAGTCACACTGATTACTGCAACAGTCAATCAGACAGATGATCTAATTAAAACCAGGAAGACAGACCACATCACCCCAGTTCTAAAGTCCTCACACTGGCTCCATGTAGCTAAGAGAATAGACTATAAAATACTGTTAGTTTATGAGTCACTGAACAGCTTGGCACCAAAAGCACATTAAAGATAGGCTGTTGCTGTGTCAACCTTCCTGACCTCTCAAGTCTTCTGGTTCTGGTTCTGCTTTGCATCACCAGAACCAAAACCAAACATGGAGAAGCGGCACTCGGATTTTATGCCCCACAAACTTTCAGAGAAACTGTAAAAATGCTGAAACACTGAGTTCCTTTAAATCAAAGCAAAAGAAAAATCCTTGTCTACAAAGAGAGAGTCGTCTTTAACAAATGGAAGATCATTTGTTTTGGTCTGGATTGTGACTTTTGATGAGTGTTTTCCTTTTATGTTATGTATGTAAAGTACTTTAACTTGCTAAGATTTCCTGTACAAATAAACTTGCCTTTGGTTAAAAGCAGGGATATGGCATGATTGTCTGGCCTGGGCAATAACTCAACATATTAGTATAAAAAAAATGTCTGGTTTATTTATTACACTGGTCTCATGTCATATTCACATTTTTTTCTGCTTGGGTTTCCCGTTAGCAGTAAGCCAATGTCATCCACATAAATAGGACTTAGCACTCGAAATCCATCACTTTTACGTTTTCTAATATAATTACTGAAATGAAAAATAATAATTAAATTTCAATAAGATATTTTGTCATAATGCACCTTTCGTCCTAATACTCCTGATTCTAAAGAAAATGTTTGCTAAAGGATAAATTTTTTGTTTTGCAGGCTGCCGAAACAACAGGAAAATGACTACTTACATTTGTTTGTGTGTAATTTAGCTTTTAATTTGTACTGATTGCAACTTACAGGAACGCCACTATTAAATTTTATTCTACTGTTTCACTGTAGAGCGACGATAGTCATTCATTCAAGCAAAATAAGGAACTATTGTGTGCAAAACCTTTATCTGCAACCAGGCCTGTGATCAATGAAAGGCCTTTTATCCGAGGAGCAGATAATGATTTACTGATCTCCATATAGTGACGGTGTTTTACAGTCCAGGCAGGTGTGCCATGAGTCACGTACACAACTTTTGTTGGGACTGACACCAAACAGCATCCATTTAATAATGCAGGACATTATATGTTTCTAACATTCTTTTGTGAATGTTTGTTAATGTGATTTCTTGATTGTACATTTATAATGTCTTTTTGTTGTTTGGGTCTTCCTGTCTTGGGACTCATTTACAGTCTGTACAGAAGTATTGATTGTTCATTAATGTGCGCTGTCCCTAATAAATAAATAAAAAAACAAACAAAACAAAAAACAAGTTTTGGTCAGTCAACATACAATCTGTGATTATTGTGAGCAAGTCTGTGTCCACGATGACCTCATTTCATTTTGTTGTCGGCAAAAGGTGCAATTATTATCATTAATCCAACAAGCGGAGATGTTTCATTTGAGTTCCCGTCAGTGTTGCACACTGAATCTCGAGAGCGAGCAGAAGAGCCAGATTATTCATTGTTGCCCAGCTCCCAGGTCTCATCCGAACCAGGATCTTGATTTACCTGGATTTATGACGTGTTGTAAAGTGGCTCTGCCTTGCTTTGTGATTCGGGTTTTCTCTGACCTACATATGGCACAATAGTCTCCATATGGCCGCTGAATGTCCAAAATTAAACGTCTGTTAATTTTTCCTGGACAAGCTAAGGGTCCAGTTTCTGCTCCCTTTTGGCCTTCAACGTTCAGCACTAATCTGAATAGCTAATTTTGTTAATCCCATTGTGCTTGGATGATATTAGAAGGGAGTATTTTTTTTTGTCATAATCTGGCCCATATCTAATTATGACCTTATTATTCAGGAAACATTATATTTGAGGACTTTTGACCAGCTGAAAAGGTTCCCCCCCTCATCATTAGCTTAAAACTCCAACGTTTAAAACGAACCGTTACTATTTAGAGAACAAAAAACCCCGTACTGCCCTTTAATGGCGGTACCGTACAATTTTCCGTCAATAAAACGACGTCCAATTTATAAAAACAAAATAATTTTATAAGCTAAAACAATTGACCATAAAATGTTTTCTTTTACAAATCAAATGACGGCCATAGAGGCGGGAAGGGCGCAGTTACCTGGCGGGGTATCTCCTGCGCAGAGGCTCTCCGGCGGTGACATGTTCCCGATGGAGCAGAAACCCGGCCGCTACGGAGCCGCCGACCAACGAGAGGATTCCGACGTTTCTCTTGGAGGAGAGGATTCTCGTGAAGCTGCTGGCCATTTTTTTCCCTCCTTGAAATTCAAGCGTCTAGAAAGGGGTGTTATTGACAGGGCCGGGCGGAGGGGAAGAGAAGACAGGTTGATGGAGTGAAGGTGATGAAGCGCCTCTGATGGAATTATAAGGAGAACGGTTAACCCAGGAAGGGTCGTCAAGGTGGACGGAGAGATCGAGGACTGGAGCGGAAGTGAAGGTCCAGCTTCAAAATAAAAGTCTCCAGATGATCCCAAACAACTGAAGGACAAACGCTTGTATTTTAGTCAAACGTTTGCGTTGTTCACATTTCACATACAACTGTATGCGTTTTGATGAATTAACACACATCTTACGTATTAATGAGGGGTCTACCTGCGTTTATTTTACCTATTTTTTTTCTTAACTTCCCACAAGTATGGAAATGACGCAAATGACAAAGAAAAAATATTCCTTTAAATATTTTCTATTTTCTTTGCTTTATGAGCTATGAACAATTTTTATTGTTCTGTTAGCTTATTTTACTAGACAATTTGACATAATCATATCGTTTTTTGTTTTTTTAGGTGGACTGATAGGCAATTTGCTTCTTTCTTTACCACATTGTTACAAAAATTGTAGATTAAAGTTTGAAAGTACTGAATTTAAATCCAGCATGCCTTTGATTTTCTTTGCACTCCTGATACACCATTATACATATATATAAAACAATTTTCAAATGTAAACCCAAGTATTAAACATTTATGGGACAAAGTATGAAGACGTCGAACTACACATGTTGTCTCAACAGGAAGTTCGTTGTGCTTTTTGTCGGCCAACTTGATGAAGGTAAAGTGGTGCATGGTAAGAATATTAAACACTGAACAGAACTGCAAAACAGGAGCTTTCACTTCGCACTCAGCTCAACCACAACCTCAAATACAAATCCAGTCCGCTCATCCCGCCTCCCACCCTCCCAACTTAGGGCAAATCGTTTGTAAAGGTTTTCTTCACAAGGTTATTCCAGTCATTCATACAATAAAACTGCCGCAACTTCCTCATTGCGTCACGCCTGATTGGACTTAAAGGGGAAATTAGTGGCACTCGCCTTCATGGTCCGAGTTGAAAGAGGTTTTCTAGTTAAACGCAGCAGCAACATTTCGCAGTGATGTGATCTTTGGGACCACAATTTATCTTGATACAACTCTTTTCTTCACTGAACAGTAATTTCATCTGAATTTATATCAACATTTCCCAAAGAAGAATGAACCATTTTTGCAGAAACTTAATTATGCAAATTTTCTGATATGTATTTTAAACCTGCACAGAAAGTAGGAGTTAGTTTTGCAACAAACTATTAGGAATTTTAACTGCAAGTATGTTCAAATCCTGTACGTGATCTGCTTATGGAAGGATAAGTCTGCTCAAAGGTCACGTACTTTCAGTCGATGAAGTCTAAGAGACTAAAAAAAAATAAATAAGTAATGAAAAAGTATTCACAATAAACTTACAAACTCATTAGAACAGAGCGACCATTTTGGTGATTCTCAAAATCAGAAAAGCAAAACGAAATTAATCAAATGTGCCAAAATGAGTAAGAGATAAATGCTTTCCATAACAATGTGGTGAAGGAAATTCCCCCCACCCCCCAAAAAAAGAGGCTGACTTGATTTAAAAACTACTATTTAAAGAAATAAAAAGTTGTTCAGACTAAAAATAAAAAAATAAAAAGTGAGGGGTTGGGGATTTTGCAAGAAAAAACAAATTATACAAATTTTAGCATTCAAAATTTTAAAACTACTAAATTCTTAACTAATATTTTAAAAACGTTAAAATGTATCAATTTAGTTGAATTTATGACTGACATTTCTGTTATGGACCTGGGCTTACAATTTAGACAGGAAACTTTAACCCAACGATCAGCGCTTTAAAAGCTACAGGACCGAATGGTTTAGTCAAATCACAGGCAGTAGAAGGAAAAGAGTTCCAGATGTAGCTGCAGTGCAGCATAATTAATAAAAAGACAAAACAAAAAAAAAGGGTGCGTTTGATTTACCACACTGATCTCTGAAGCCACATGTGCGCTAATAAACTTCTTAAAGTAACATTTACGGTGCAACTGCTCAATAAAACCCGGTTCAGTTTTCAGCAAGTCGTTGCGAGGGGTTTGGATTCCCTGCTTTTCAATCACTTTCAAATGATTAAGAAAAACTGTTTATTCATAAAAGAATTTGTCAACATTTAACATATTTACAAGATTTTTTACAAGTAAAAATTACTTTTCAGTAATTTGTTACTGAAAAGAACAGCTAAGAAAAAAAAGGAGAAATTAATAAATAAACAATACTAAACGGATAAGAACAGGATCTGACTTGATTGGAAAACAGAGAGAAAGAAAATATGATCTCATCAATATCAGGGAGAAAATTTAAACGTCCTTTGAACTCTGAAGTGGTTCTGATTGAACAAAAGCAGCTTCCTGGTAGAGTTTCGCCGACCTTTCACACACGCCACGAAAAGGCTCACGGCTTCACAAATCAAAAAACAGACGGTCTTATTGCTGAAACTTTTTATGTCATTTATCTCAGTGGAGCAGTCTCTTCCTGCTGTAAGTCTTCCCCGTGTTGGAGCGCCTCGCTGGCTGGGAGAGGCTGAGAGGAGAGAGCTCCGGCTCACGTTCCGTTTTCCCAGATGAGGCTTCGTCTGGAAAATTCAGGGGGAAAAAATATAAAGCTACTATAAGATGTTCGCATAGATACATCGCATGTCGAAGCATTACCTATAAAATCTGTTTTCTTATGGGTGGAGCCCGTTTTGCCCCTAAATAGCAGCGGAGACTGAGTGAGGGCCAAGATGCCGCTGGGCGTTACTGGTTTTCTGCCGTTCCGACTGGGAGGAGTCGCTGCTGCTGGGAGAGGACCAAACAAAAGCAGGTGAATTAATAACGAAGCTTTTCTCTGTGTACCGTCACAATGTCTGTCATCAATGACTTGATATAGAAAATAATTGTTTCTTTTTGTCATCGCAATAGTACCACAAAATATCACAATGAAATTCTAAGTCCATATCACCCAATCCTACTCTATATTCTTCTAAATTATTGCTAGACCTAAAATTTAAACGTCTAGTTTTAATGTATATACAAAAATATTGCAATTTTAAATATCTGACATACATTCATTCTACAAACTGCTTAAAGATATTGCTTACTTGACTCAGTATTTCCAGTTTCACACGCCCAGATGATTTCAGCTGAATCGGCACTGTTTGTCCCTTCAGCCAGCTTGGTCATCCAATACAAATCCTCCATGGGGGAAAGAGGCGGCACCTTTGCTGCCACAGAGGGCGACTCTTTTTCTGCTGCGCTGCTCAAATGTTCTTCGGTGTCTTCGAAGTCCTGCAGGCGACTGACTCCGAGCTCAGCCTCCTCCAGCAGCTCCTCCAGCCGCGGCTCCCCTTTCGGGACCCGATCTTTGCCTCCAAATGCCTCGAGTTGAGGCCTCTTCCTGCGCGGCCAGCTGTTCAGGTTGTCCGTAGTTACTTTGCCCATGCTCTGTGGCGAAGGGGTAAGTGGGATGATGTCTGCCACTGCTACTGCCACTGGAGAGTAGCGCGTAGGCGTGTAGGACTGGCAGATGTACGTCTGGACGCTGCTGCCTTTTCCAGGAGTACTCTTGGCTGGAGTGACGTGAGTGCAGAGAGACGGCGAGGAACAAGCGGCGTCTTTGTGTTTGGCCATTAAGGTCAGGGGGCTTTCCACGAGAGGCTTAGTGCCGACCAAAGGGCTCTGTGAGTCTGGTTGAGAAGCACTCCCAGAAGAGATGTCGTCGCCATTCATGGAATCTGTCCGTTTAATTTTGAGTTTCGGAAGTCCCGACGTCTGCATTTCCAGTTCCACTTGGTAGCTGAGAGGGTTCGGCGCAACTGAGGATTTCTTGGATCTCGCTAAGTTTCTGGGAGAAGAGAATCGAGGGGAGTCATTTCCATACCCCAAACGAGCGGCGGCCTCCCTCTGCCGGCGGTCGGGGGTTTGGCGGAAGCCGTAGCTGCGCCCCGACGTATTCTGGGGTGGCAATGGGGAAGCCGTCTTCGCAGGACAGTCGGGACTAGACGCACTAGGCTTCCTTGAGAAGCTAATGTTCATCTTTATACCCTGGTTAAACTGAGTCTTGACAACCGTAGCGTCGACGATGTCCAGACTGTCTGTGGTTGTGGAGTTACAGTGAGAAATCTGCGATTCAGTCTGGAGACTGGAGTCGGGTTCGGAGCACTGAGATGTTTCAGTCTTCTCCTCTGATGAACTGTTAGGAAGTCTATCCCCCTCGGGCGGTGGGTATGCCACCTCTGTGGGTGATTCAGTGTTTGGCTCTTTCCTCGGGGTTCGTCCGGAACGAGTGATCATTTGATGAACGGGACTGGGAATCTTTGCTTTAGTTCTGATTTTGCGCTGAGGTGAATTATGGGTTGAAGATGCCAAAGGCGGCGTAGGAGTTCTTTCCAGATGAACCGCCCCATTTACAGTTGTGTTACATATCGAAGATCTCAGAATCTTTTCTGGAGTCAGTAAGTCTTGTTCGGACAGCCGTACCAGGCTTACTTGGCAGAACTTATCCGGGGTCTTAAAAATGTCTCTTTTAGCGTTAGTGCTTTGTTCTGGACTATGGAGCTTGCTGGGAGTCCTCATGTATCTCAGAGAGTTAAGAGGAGTTGTATTTGGTGACTTGGGGACTTTAAAAGTTGAAAGTTCTCCCTTCACTGTACATTTCTGAGGAGAGGGAGACCATGTGACACTCTTCTTGGGAGTCTTGGATAACGGGCTAAGATTACATAATCCAGAAGCTTTGACTGGAGTCCTAAGAATGCCCTTTAAAGGACTTTGTTTACTTGGCGTATTTACAAAGACAGACTCTTTGCCTGGAGATATCAGAGGACTGGTCTTCAGAATACTACCAAGTTCAGAAGTATCAGCTACAGGACTTTCTGCAACCGTAGAAACTTGGGTTTTAGATGATAGCAGGTTCTGGGGTGTTCTTGGCGTCTTGGGAGATACATTTCTTCCACGTCTCTTGGGTGATTTTGATGGTGTTTTGTTTGGACTCTAAATATACAGCAAAAACATCATATAAGCAATGAAAAGTGACAGTTATTCAGCACAAATTATGATTTTAAATTATTTATATCCCTGGCAGATTTGCACTTAAAATTACTTTTTTTCAACTAAGA